TCTCTCTCTCTCTCTCTCTTTCTTTCTTTTTTTAAGATTTATTTATGTTTGCATACAGAACTGGAGTAGGGGCCAGAGGTGTAGGAGCGGCTAGAGGATTCACCAGAGACAGAGAGGGGAGCAGCGGGCGGGTCAGGGGAGGTCTGCCGCACCATGTGGATCACCTCTGGGGTGGGGTTTGAACTCATGCTGCAGTGGTGTGCTTTAGCCCACTGTGCCACCAGGGAGGGCCTCTTTTTTCTTTTTTTTTTAAGGTTTATTTATTTATACATACAGAACTGGGGTATAGGCCAGAAGTGCAGGGGAAGTGAGAGGATTCACCAGAGACAAAGTGGGGAGCAGAACAGGGCAGATTAATACAGATATTAATCTGTAATACAGATATTAATCTGTAATCTGTAATTAATACAGATATTAATCTGAAACGAGGAGCGCTGCACCATGTGGGTCACCTCCCGGGCTGGGAATTGAACTCTTGCTGAAGCAGCTGCCAAATACTTCTCAGTGCTGTGCTTTAACCTGTGGCGCCACCAGTGAGGGCCCGCAGCTTTCATTTCAATAGAACTGTGTTTGAAAAAGTAAAAAACAACCTTGTTGTGGATGGTAGACCATTCAAACATCTCTCTGCGTTTTTTTCTCCCTCTAGGAAGGTCACTTAACTCCGTTAACATCAGATCCAGTGCTTTGTCACGAGGGAATCTATCCTCTAGCACTGTTCCAGTGAGAGCCAGGATAGATGGAAGAAAGCCAGGTGTCTATTTCACGTGGCCTGCTTTTCTTGTAGACCAGGCCAAACTTGGCCTGTTTCAGAGTCCTCTCAGCATTAGCTAGAATAATCGGAGGGTGCTCATTCTTTGTGTTCATCAAACATGAGAAAAAAAAAGTGCTCAAACTTAGAATGGTTGTCTGGCATCACTAATAACTTGTTTACTTCTCGAGTGTTTACTGATATGGTACTGTGGGTGTGCCTGCCTAGCTTTGTGAAGTTCGCTACTGTTTTCTGGTTAGTGCCTTATTCTACATTTGGGAAATCTTTACACACATGGAAAGAAGTCAGCAGCTGAGAGCAGCTTGTTGTTGGCCCACCTTTACTTTCCACCCACAGCCAGTGTCCTTGGGGGCACAGACACTGAAATGGTGCTCAGGGCTGTCGCCACTGGACTGAGAACTAAGAACAAGCAGTTACTCGCTCCTACAAAGATCAGTCTCCAGCTTATTTAGTATGAAATTGATAGTCTTACTGTAAATTACTAAGGTTTTTGTGTGAAGTTTTTTATATGTATGATCTCTTCATGCTGACACCAGAATGTTACCTCTTCCCTTGTTGACTGTCTCCCTCTCCTCACTTTCACTTGGAGGTCCTAGTATGGTAACTAGTTTGTAATAGTTGGGTGGTCAGTACTTAGGGACTGAGTAAGTGAGGGTTCTCCACCTGAGGCCCTTTTACCTACATTGCCAGTGTAACCCTTAGCTATTCATTTGCAAATTTATGCAGATCTCTGTATATAGACAAGCTAACTCTTTTCTATAAATGTCCTAGTGTAAATATGGAGATAAGGTTTATCTACATGAGGGCAGGTAGGTTTGTTGTTCTTGTAATTTCTAGTGATGTGATATCTAACCCTATGTGAAAATCGTAAGTAGATTTCTTTATCTAGGAAAATGTGCTTTTGTGCCATAGAAAAGTCTGTCTTCCATTTGCAGTTGGAGCTGGTTTTGGCTTTTTACTTATTAGGTGAGTTCCTCTTCTTCCACCTGGGGGAAGAACAGCACAAGAGAAAAAGATTATTTTAAGGTTTCTTCCTCTTCTAAATCCCAGAAGTCAGGTTGCTAAGCCTTTTGGAAAGAAAGGGAGATTACAGCCAGTGTGTTAAGTGGTTACTTTCTGCTGACTACACCCATCCCCATATACACTTGTGAAAACACATACATTTACCTAAAAGGGGAATCCTTCAAATAAAGCTTTTGTTGGCAACTGTGTGAAGAGTTCTCATTATTGATATTTATTTTAAATATAAATGTGTAAACCTTATTTCTAGCTCAAGTCAGATATTTATGAAATATTAATGAAAATAATAAATAACACAAATAACAACCATTCTTAATATTTTCTCAAATTTCTTTCCAATGTTTTTGATGACTTTTATGTAATTTAGTAATATTTGTTAAAACATTCTTCCAAGATTCATAAAATCTTGTATAAACATGAGTTTTAACAATCACATGATATTCATCTTTTACATTAAGATTTAGACTATTGTTTCCTTCCTGTTTTTGATAACACAGATAATGTTTTGTGCTTTTTGTGTGTGCTTAAATATCTTTGTGCATCAATTTTTGTCTGTTTCATGACAAATTCCTAGAGGTAGGCTTATTAAGTCAAAGGAAATAGTCATTTTTATGATGGTCTTAAACATAAATGACAAAATCACATTCCAGAAAAGTTATACTAATTTACTTTCTCACCACTGAAGTGTAACTTTTCTTCCTTGTGGAGGAAAAAATGTACTTGTTGCCAAGCCACAGTCAAAAATTGCAGATTTTTAAGTAAGTTTCCTGTTTTTTTTTTCTTCAGACACTATATTCTTTAACACTGTCTTAATATAGTTTCTGTGTCTATATTTTAACTTTCGGTGTGGCCTAAAATATGGTCTGAAGAAAACTGAGTGGTTTTTTTTTTTTTTTTTTTTTTTTTTTTTAGTATCAGGTGTTAATATTTCCCTTATAGGATTTTCCTCCTTTTATAGGAACCCTCTATTAATAGCTATACGTGGATAGGGAGAGAGTTGTACAAGTCTCCTAACATCCTAAGAAAAAAACTGACTTTTTGTAATCTTTAAGTTTTAAGCAGCTCAGAAGTTCTAACCTTCTGAAGCTGTGGGTAGGCTCACCCATCTTATGGGGAAATGCAAGTACTTCCGTCATTTGAAAACAAAACCAATAAATAGACTCCTTACCTTTAAAGTGAGTTGAAACAAAAAGAAAGAATAACATACTGAAAACTGAAGGAAGTTAGTGAGTAAAGCATTTAGCTTTCTGAAACAATTCAAATGGGGATAGGAAGTTGGTTTTAAATGGCTTAAAAGGGGATTAGGGTTTTAAAGTTGGATAAGGAGTTTGGTGCTTTGGTTTAGGCAGGGCATTGCTTTTAAAAGATTACTTCCATATTTGACAACAGTTCTAACTGGAGATTATAAAGCAAATAGCCAGTTTTAAAACACTGTGGAAAACAAGAGGGTTTCTTTGTTGTTGTTGTTTGTTTATACGAAATCATCAGGTAGAGTTAGCAGGCCAAGTCCTGAAGCCCTCATTTCATATTACGGAGGATCTATCACCAGGGAGAATCCAGTAGAGATTGTTTAATGCACTTAATTGAGATTATCTGAGCTTTCAGTTTAAATTACTTTGGGAAAAGTCTAGGTGCAAACAGCTACTTTGAAAGGTAAACGTATTTAACCTCTAAGAAAAGTGTTTTAAGTTCTTTAAAATTCTTCAAACATTTAGTAGCACCAACCCTCATTAGTTACATTTAAGTATTCACCAATGTATAAAGATTTAGTAACTGTACATCAGTACAAGTGTAAATGTAAAGATTAAGAAGCTGTAATCAGTACAACTGAAAATATATTAACACTGATTTCATTGGTTTACAATTACTTGATAACAATATTTTATGAGAAAAGCAACCCCTGACAATTTTAGTAATTGTAAAGTAATAAAGTAGACTACAGAATTTTCTGTGTGATGTATAGTTAATGAAGTTTTTAAAATGATGTTCCTTACTACTTGGTTTCATCTAAGCAGCAGGTCATATTAAAATGGATCAAAAAGAACATGTATTTGACTTATGTATTGACTATAGATAAGCAATCAATTTAAGTTGCTTAAAGTTGATTTAACATTTCCCCCATCTTCTTTAGCTCCTTGACCTGTTTATGGTTTGGGACTGGTCTACTTACTTAGCGGATTATGGACAGCCAGCGTCTAAGTACCTTCGGGTGAATCCAAACACAGCCCTTACTCTTTTGGAAAAGTGAGTATATTCTGAAAAAATGTTTAAATACTATTTTAGCATTTTATGTTTCAGCGACAGACGTAGAGAAAGTAGATTTTCATCAAAACAGAAATGGCTACATGACGCTTAAAAGCTCAGTCCAAGTTAATGACCAAAACTTAAAAGCTGCTTTCTTTGTTGCCCTTCAGTGTGGTATAGTTTTATGAAATTGCTATTTGTGTTGATATGAACACAACATATTTCCTGTTATATCCTCAATAGCAGGCTTAAATGGTCTTAGAAATGTTTGTTGAAGATGTGAGCGTCAAAGCTATTTTTTTAAAAATTACCATAACACATAATGAAGGTTTTTACATTTTGTAAAATGTGGCTGGGAACTGGAATGTTTGCCCACAGTGCTATATAAAATTTACCATTCTGAACTTGGATTGTTTACAGAGAGAAAAGTATGTGATCTGAGGGAATAAAACCACAAGTTTGTTAAATGAAAAATTAATATAGTAAAAACTAAAGTAATGGGGTATTTACTAGTGCATTTTGTCCAATTAATAACACACATTTAGCTGTTTCTTTTCCCTCTCATGCCATTCATTTATATTTAAGTATCTAAAAATTTTCAATTTCTGAATTAAAAGTATAATTATTTCCCCACATTGAAAATATCTCTGTGTTCTTGATTTGAGAATACAAAATGAACTTTGAAATAAATTTATTTCATAATGCTGTAAAACATCACGGTGAAAAAAAATTACTTACTTTAAATTTCTAATATTATTTCTCCTTTCACCTTGTCTTGCTATGAATGTGATTTGCAGAGCTCATAGAGGGTATGTATTTAAGCATACTTTATGGGATGACATTAGAAAGTAGTAGGGTATTAGAAAACTTAACATACCTTAGATTTACATACTAATGCAAAAACACCACATAGAATGTAAAAGCTGCTAGTTTGTGTGTGTGTGTGTGTTTGCTATTGCTGTCATTTATTAGTACCTATTTTTAAGCATATTTTTCAAGCATAAGATTAGTATGAGATAATTCAGAGCATGCCAAGGTATTTTACTAGTGATGGCATAGATTTTAATTTCCTTTTACTAAGCTTCTTCACTCACATATATTCCTAGGATGAAGGATACTAGCAAAAAGAACAATATATTTGCTCAGTTCAGGAAGAACGATCGGGACAAACAGAAGTTGATAGAAACAGTCGTGAAACAGCTGAGAAGTTTGGTAAATGGTATGTCCCAGCACACTTAAACTTGTACTCAAGATACCTACCATATATGTTACTCTCCGTTGCGCTCAAACAGGCACTGGTCATTTGTTTGCAGAATTCCAAGATATGGTAGAGAAAAGACAATGGTGAGAACTTAAAGAAACGATTATTATCATTTGTATGGATTTTTAATTGAATACTATTTTATATATGAAAAACATGACCTTTTTGATGTTTAGGAGGGAAAAGAAAAAACTGTAATATATAAATCACATCAAGCATGTATATAATACTGATTTTAAAAACATTGCAAAAACGTACACCTATTATAATACATACTTTTTTTTTCTACTCTGAGTTGAATGGTTTTTTGGTGTGTGTTTTCATCTAAAAACATCTGGTGTGTTTTACATCTGATTTTGGAATGCAGTCATGTCTGATATAAGGGGGTAAAATTTCACTGTCATTTTCTGACTTTTAGCTCTTGTTTCACCTCATTATTTTCTATTTCTGAGGGGGGAATGGACAAATCTTTAAAGTTTCCTGAAATTAAGCTGATTTAACTAAGTAAGAGTGTAAATTAGTTGTTCTTGTGGTGGGCTTTAATTTAATCATTCTGAATATGAAGAAAAGGTGTTTGGATTTTCCAAAGATGCAGTGTTGTTTCTGTTCATCAGGGTTAATATTTATAAGTATATTGTCTGCAGATGACCCCCTTCTAGGATTTATTTGGTTTGGTTCAAGTTAGAAGAGAGGGCAGGATCTGTGATGAGCTAACCACGGCAGGTGCAGCTTCTGGGGCAGACATCCCCAGTGCACACAGCTACTGCAGGGTCCGGTTACTACTCTCAACAACAGGTCTCAAGGCCCTGCCCTCACGGTAGGAATCAGCCAAACCAAGTGAACTCTGGAAACCTAAAACAATTGTACATTTTCCCTTTGTGTAAATTACTGTGGTCCCAATGGCAGTATTAGTCTGGTCTTTATTTTCTCTTCTTTGTATTTATGCTGAATACTTTTGCATTTTCAGGATATATGCTTGTAAGCAACTTATACTTGACTCTGTAAAATAAGTATAAAGACGTATATGTACATTTCTTGATTTTGTGCTGAAGAATTAAAAAGGCTGAGCAAGTTGTTGAAAATGTGTTGCTGTTGCATCTGTTCAGAGATTCCTGGTTTAAAACAACGGCTTCCTTTAGAAAGTTTCATTCCCTAGTTATTGGAATGGATGTGTTGCCAAAAGAAAGCAAGCAAGCATTTATTTTCTTGACCATTTTTTGTCCTTTCTTTTTTTTTTCCACATAAAAGAAAAACAACCATGACATGGAAAACCTGGTAATTCTTAAGACACAGAATCTGGAAGCTTTGAGAGGAGCCGGTGAACAGCCAGCTCTTTTTGGAAACTGTGGAATGTGGCTGTTTCTGCACAGCCTTCTAGGGCCCTATGGACATCTCCCAGGCTTTGGCTGAGGTGACTTGGATCCTAAGAGTGCCGCCTTCACACTGATCCCAGCACACTTCTGAGGGCCCTCACCTGTGTGATGGTCTTGAGCAATTCACTTTACTCTTCTCAATAAAGTGTGCTGTACTGACGCCAGTCACCCACCCTGGGGTTGTGCTGTAGGCACAGGGACACACTGGGGTCTTTGGAGACGTCGGGTGGCACATGAACCAATGCAACCAGGTAGACTTACTGGTGAAGTGCGGTGGGGTGTGGGCTTCAGGAGAGTAGGAAGCACGAGTTCGATCCTTGACACAAAGGTGCCAGAGCTATCCTTGTGGGTTTAGGGTGTCTTTGTGAGGTTTTGGGCACTAAAGACACTACATCTTTTGCAGAATTCCCGAAGTGGTAGATCAGAGACAGGAGAGGGGCGAAAGGGGTGGAGGGTGCTGGAGAATGTAGGCGCTTATGAGACCACAGCAAGAATCTGAGGACGCAATTTCCCTGAAAGAGAAATGGAACAAAATGAGAGAAATTCAGCTCTTTGACCTTGGAGCTCAAGTTTGGAGGTCCTAGAGAGAGCCCGCGTCAGCCCCAAGCCCTGGGTTTACCCACCTCGAGCTCGGGTGCGGAGGAGAGAAGTTCTGGCGTAAAACCGCCCCCTCCACCCGCCTACCCCGCCACCTCCGCGGGGCGAGGCCCCCAGCCCAACCCGGCCGCCAGCGCCGCTGAGGCGGCCACTCCCTGCTCTTAGCCCCTCTGTAAGCGTGGTGGGTTTTAAATATGCATAAGCGCGTCACGCTGTGTAAATCGGGATCAGTCCGTAGGGAGGGAGCCAATATCTATATAAATGTGTCCTGAGTGGGCCGAGAGGGTTAAACGACTGTAGGAGAGCGAGAGGTGGGGTGGGGTCGACAGTCTGGTGAAGTCCTGGTGAGCAAAGCCCAGGTTAACAGCACGGGTGAGTTACTCCCTTCTTTACCCTACCTCGCTGCTTTAAAGCACTCGAAAGAGTGCAGACCCCGGGAAGGTGTGGGAGGTACAAGCCGGTGCCGGGAAAGTGCGTTCTGGAGGCCGCTGGCCCTCCCTGCACGGGGTTGGCAATTGGCCCGCGAGCCTTCAGATGCTGGTAAGTCCTAAGCGCACCGGCCTCGAGGGGGGCAATTATCTTAGGGGCGCGTGGTTACTGCCGCCTTCCCTATGCCAGCCTGTTTGAGAACGAAATCCTTGTTCGAGGTTATAAATCTTGGTTTTGGTCCTCAAGCCCAGACCCTTTCCCGACAGAACAGGTGAGCCCCTTGAGCGACCCGGCCCCGGACGATCGCCATGTTTCCTTGGGGACTGAACTGCCTGTCTGTGCTGGGGGCCGCGGGCACCGCTCTTGTCTGTGCGGGCCTGCTGCTCAGCCTGGCCCAGCGCCTCTGGACCCTCCGCTGGACACTGAGCCGGGACCGGGCTTCCGCCCTGCCTTTGCCCAAGGGCTCCATGGGCTGGCCCTTTTTTGGTGAAACGCTGCACTGGTTAGTTCAGGTGAGCAGTCCGCAGTCCTTGATTTCCCGCACCCCAATATGACCGGTCCCTCTAGGATCCCACTGGCCTCTCTTATCTCTCAGTGCTCCTAGGGTTCATAGCCAGTGCTTTCCTGTCGCCCAGGATCTCGGGAAACATTAAACAAGTCTCACTGCTTCCTAAAGGGACTGTTTGTCTCCAGTGTGCCCCAGTGCAACTTACACAAGTCCCCCCAACACAATGGAAGGGTGAACAGGGGTTCTAGCAAGGGGTCCGAAGAGTATGTCACTCTGTCCTGCAAGCATAAAATCAGAAGTCAGGGGCGCTTGTCAGCCTTGAGCTCTTGGGCGCTCGCGGCCCCATTCTGAGCTTCAGTTTCAACTCACCAATGGGAGCAGGAACATTTATTTACATTATCTTGGGGTAGTCTTGAGGCCCATCTGGGCGTGTTTTGAAAAGAATAAAAGGCCAGGCTGGGGCAGGGAGTTATCCAGGGGGGCAGATGGGAGTCCGAGACCAGACGCCCTGCCTAGTCCCGGGCCCCCCAGCCTACTTCGCTCCGCCTCACATGCAGGGCTCAAGCTTCCACAGTTCCCGGCGCGAGCGCTACGGAACAGTATTCAAGACACACCTGCTGGGCCGGCCGGTGGTCCGCGTGAGCGGCGCCGAGAACGTGCGCACAATTCTGCTGGGAGAGCACCGGCTGGTGCGCAGCCAGTGGCCGCAGAGTGCGCACATCCTGCTGGGCTCACACACACTGCTAGGAGCCGTCGGCGAGCCGCACCGGCAGCGGCGCAAGGTGAGCAAAAACCAGAGGAGGAGCAGGTGTGGGCTTTGGGGACCCGCGGGAAATTGGGCCCGAGGTTCCCGGGAACCTGTGTGGACCAGGCTGGGGCTTGATGTGGGTGGTACACTACGGGCCTGGCCGGGATCCCTGGCTAACCAAGTGGCCTTGGACTAGTCCCTTACCGTACTCGGCTTTGGCTTTTGAAGCCAGTACTGGGACTTACAGGTCCTTTCATTCTTTAATTCTCTGTGGGCGTAATAACGGAAGCGCTGGAAACTCAGACCTGGAGAGGTGTCCGGGAAGTCTTCCTGGGGGAGTCGGCAGCTGGTATCTGGATGAATGAGAGGGATTGTGTACTTTAGAGATCCAGAGGGAATGCTGAGAGCAAAAGTCAATGCATTTAGGTACGGTGGCTAGGAAGCGTAGGAAGGGATCGAAATTGGTTTCATGGCTTCTCTGGCATCGCAGAGCAGAGAGCGTGGGGCCAACCCTGACTCCGTGCGCCCCACACAGGTGCTGGCACGGGTGTTTAGCCGTGCCGCGCTGGAGCGTTATGTGCCGCGCCTGCAGGGGGCGCTACGGCATGAGGTGCGCTCGTGGTGTTCGGCCGGCGGGCCGGTCGCAGTCTACCAAGCAGCTAAAGCACTCACCTTTCGCATGGCCGCGCGCATCTTACTGGGGCTGCGGCTGGATGAGGCACAGTGCGCCGAACTGACCCGGACTTTCGAGCAGCTCGTGGAGAACCTCTTCTCCCTGCCCTTGGACGTGCCCTTCAGCGGCCTGCGCAAGGTAATGCCGTCCCAGCCCCACACCTTTGCCTAGGGAGTCCGTCCCCCACTTAGTTTGGTCCCCCAGACTAAGGTAGGGTTCCCTCGGCGCTTTCTACCAGTCGTCTTTGCTAGAACAGAGGCTCGGCTTGCTGTGGAGAGGTGGCCTGGTTCTGCAGTGAGTGCGGGGCTGCCCTCTATCCCGATTCGATTGTGTGACCCGCGGTGAGCCACCACACTCTCTCTGAGGCTTGCCAGACCAGACATGCTCCAGTCCAGCAGCGGAGGCTTTCGGACTTTAAGTTTAATAGCAGGGGCCGGTCCAGTCGATCCAGCACCGTCCCAGCCTCCTCCCTCCCCCTCCCCCCAAGAGTCTTCAGTGCCTCCCAGGCCTTAGTGGAATCGCTGGAAGTATGATGGCCGCTGACCCCAACCCAGCCAGGAGCCAGCCTGCCTTGAAGGGGGCTGGGTGACAGCACAGCCCAGAGGCCCTAGTCAGGCCTGCTAGTTTCTGGATCACAGAACTTCCTCCTCTCAGACTTCAGAGCACCCGGCCCATCCTAGAGAGCATCTAGGAGGCCTATCCCAGCTCTCCTGCCCCTGAGCTGGGGCCTCCCGTGGTACCAACACTGGTCTTTAGTCACCTGAATAAGAATGAATAATAGTTTAGGGTCATGTTGTGGGCTGATCACATTGTATACATTTTCTGATTTAATTCTCTCAGTCTGCAAAGTGTAATTATTCTCACTTCATTAGTCTTCACAGAAGAAGCTAAACGCAGAGGTTACACGGTTTATCCAAGATCACACTATGAGTAGGGGCTGAGGCAAAACTGGAGCCCAATCTCCTACAAAACCCAGGGGCACAAAATAATCACTATTTTTTACTTGCCCCACAAACTCTTGTGGGAGTTACTACGGTAATGCTTAGAACATCCACTAGCTCTGTAAATCAGAGCTTTTCTGGGTGCATCTGGTATCCACTGCCTCTGCCTGAGCTTCGGACAGGGAAAGGGTAATGGACTGATTCCACTGGGACAGGGCTCTGTGCCAGGCGTGGGCACTGCAGCTGTGTGACTCTGTCAATTGCTTGGATCCTCTGGGTCTCATCCTCCCCTCAGGAAATGGTAACACTTTGCCTTGTTTCAAAGAGGCCAATGATGACCAAGAGAGCAGGACAAGTGGGGCTAGTGGACAGTTTCTCAGCATCTGTTGAGCCCCTACGATGTGCAAGGTATAGAGCTAAGCTGGGAAACAGCAGCACTGGGAAGATTTGTGGGATAGATGCCAGGCCTGGTCCCCTCAGCCTTCTCGCACCCCTCCCACCCCATCACCTCCCATCAGGGTATCCGGGCACGGGACCAACTTCATCAGCACCTGGAGGAAGCTATTACAGAGAAACTTCATGAAGACCAGGCTGCAGAGCCAGGTGATGCCCTGGACATGATCATCCACAGCACTCGGGAGCTGGGCCATGAGCTCTCAGTGCAGGAGCTGAAGGTATGTGGCCCCGGAGGTTTCTCCTTCTCCTTTTACACTCCTAGCAGGTCTCTATACACAAACCACATCCTGCTGACCCACTTGGAGCAACAACCCTTCTCGGGGTGAAGGGAAAGGATACCTTACTT